GGAGCACAATGCTACTGAGACAGATGCATTAATAGATCTATGCATTATTTAGCGTGTTTACTAACTGTATACCAAAGCTGTAGCAAACCCCTCAGCGAGGGGTCTCTGCCAGTTGTCTCTATAATTACGCGCTTTAAGAATAGTTACTTCTGGAAATCTCCTTCAGCGTCATCAGTTAAATTCTTCATTCGAAGCAGTAAAACCCGCCTGTCAGGCCAGATGTGTGCTGCAGATAGATGCTCAGCTCTTGGAGTGCAGACTTTTTGCTCACTTCCACTAAAAACTGAGAGTGAGAGCAACAGGTTGCCTCTTGGCTGCCATCTCGTCTGTCCACATCCCAAACACACATACACAGCCCAAGAAGAGACGCCCAAAAGCAAGTGCCTGAGACAAACATGCACGCCTCCCACACCGCATGGTTAATCAATTCTAATTTGAACGACCGTAGCCTCACCTCCTACACTCATGCCTTCTGATGGTTCCTGGAGAAAATGTCTCAGTGATCTTCAGTGAGTGGAAAAGACGAGCAGAGTGAAGCAAAAGCATGAATGTGAAAATAGAAAAAATGTCAGGGGGAGGTGATGTGATTGGCAGATACTCATTGTTCCTGTGTGGTGGCTGGGAGTCTGGCTCAATGTTTTAAAGGCAGCTTTGCAAGTGGCAGCCAGAAGTGCTAGCTTAATTGGATTGAGATGGTCATCAAATGTGGTGTTAGTTCTTGGAGGATACAACGTCAAGCTCGGCTGCAGTCAGTGCTAGGACACATCAGCTGATGGTGCAAATTTACACAAGTGATATAAGGTGCTTTACTTTGGCTGCTTTAGCCTGGCCACAGTCTAAGTTCAGAGAACTGAAGAAGCTTCTCGGATGAGAGGTGAAACGTCTTCCAGACGCTTTTCTTTGCAAGCTCCTTTGACTACGATGACCTGGATGACTGAGAACCTTCACAGACATATAGCCTGACCACAGTTACTGTGCAAATGCAAGCCACTTTACAACCCACCGACCAAAAGCAAGGAACCCACTAGCTTTTGGTCAATCCATCCATTTTCTTCTGTTTATCCAACTCAGGGTCACGAGGAGGCTGGAGCCTTTTGTAATTATGTTCTAGCATTTCGTTGTTATATTGATCTTGAAAGTGATATACAAATAAATATTTGACTTTACTTACTTACCTCCACACACACACACATTCCCCATCCCCATGCTGTATGTAACTTAATCAGTGTTGTACATGTTGCCACTGATGCCTGATGTTCAGTGCTGACTTCTCGCCGCCTTATGAAATCCATGTGTGCACAAAAAAAGGTTGGGGATGTCCCAAAATGAAATCATGTTGCCACATAGATTAGATAATATTACAGTACATGGAAAAATCAATCTTCTTTTAACTACAGTGGTTCTCACTGAAGTACCATAATTTTTTTATGATGTCAGTAAACAGTTTACAACAGTTACACAACCTGGTGAGGTTATGATATCTAATGCAAATTATATAAAACATAAAACCTGATATATTTTTTTGGCTGCTTGGGGGCATTGATGTGTAAGGACAAGAAAGAGCTAATTCATTAGTTTGTGTGGAAACCTCGTGGCGCTTTTGTGGATCTATACCTGTAGATGAAGACTGGTGAATCACACTTTTTTGTTTATGTTTATTTCCTTGATGTACTGTAAGAAGTATTAGTGTTTTGAGTTTAAAGACTAACCACAGTGCGCCTAAAAGAGCTGTGAGAGATTGTACAAATGAGTAACGTTGCTCCATGTATATACATTTGCATCAGTAAAGGCAAAACTCACAAAGCTACACTGGTTTTGATTCATCTTAATCCAAGTGTGCAACAGATGAAAGCAGAAAACACTGAGAAATATCCCAGCAGTTGGTGCTGAATAATGACTTTTTTACACATCCAGCAGCTACATTGGATTTCTGACATTTACTTAGATTCATATTAATGTCCATCTGACAAATGTGAGGCCAGTTTTTACTCTTCATTTTGGTGCATTATTAATGCAGTTAAGACAAATAACATTGATGGCTCCATGGTTAATATAGTTAATGGCCCCTCTAAGAAGTGTGTGCTCCAGTGTGGGAGATTTGGGTATCTGTGTCTGTCCGGTACATTGTGTATGTATGCATCTCGCTTACTAGCAAGCTTAGTAAGCTAGTTTATTAAGCCACTGACCAAAAGCAAGGAAACCACTAGCTTTTGGTTACATCTGGCCATTTTTTTTGTTTATCCAATTCAGGGTCACTAGCAAGCTTGGTAATAGAATAGAATAAAATTCAACTTTATTGTCATTGCACATGTCACAGGTACAGGGCAACGAAATGCAGTAGCTTACTAAAGCTAGCTAGCTGATATGTTAGCACTGCACCTGTTCAACCAGATACAACCAACCAACGTGGCAGCTAACTAACTAAAATGCTAACTCTGGGGGTTCAAAATGCTCAATCCAAAACCAATAGCTAGCATCATGATAGCTACGTCCATGGTGGGATTTATTGGAGGTGTTGGGCTCCGTTCATCTGTTAAACCATTTTCATTCCTGGTGGGGATCAGTATTTATATCTTAAAACAGTTTACAGATCACACAACACTAAAACCAGGAACTCTCTTGGGATTTCAGCAGATGATGATGAGTTAGATTTATTCAGCTTTTTATTAAGCTACCAAGCACTGGCGTTTCAGAGTGTGCAGCTTCTTCTGTTAGCTATAGTTCTTGCAACATTCTCCAGGTAGAAAACCGTGTTATGAAGGATGTCTCTGAAGACATTACCCGCACAGTTTGTTGGCTCTGCAAATGATAGTGCAGCTGCTGTGATGAGCTGATATAGAGTAGCAGCCACCCTGCTTAATGAAAAGATAAACCTTAACCTGTCTGCCATTCACTTAATCAGTCACAGCTGGAACTCGGGCTCCATTAGACTGAGAGAGTCATTTTCACGTATTTATTGACTCTCCAACTCCAGAGGTTTGCAGCTGATCTCAGTAAATCGAGCACTTTTGTCCTCCTCTGATGCAGATGTGGGTTAAAGGGAGGCAACTCGCTGCAGGTGATGTTATGCAAAAAGCAGAAAGAGTACATCGTCAAAGTGGACTGTTTTCTAAGTTTGATATGTAGAAATTTACTCTGCAGGGTGATATTTATATATTTGTTTCTATGGTTTTGAACCGACAGCATTTTGTTCTGGTGAAATATTAAATGCATTCAAGTGGCACAGCTGACCAAATAGCAACGAAGGAAGTGGGATTTAATTCAATTTTATTCATGCAGCGCCAAATCACAACAACAGTTGCTTCAAGGTGCTTTATATTGTAAGGTAGAGCCTACAATAATACATACAGAGAAAAACCCAACAATCATATGACCCCCCTATGAGCAAGCACTTTGGCGACAGTGGGAAAGAAAAACTCCCTTTTAACAGGAAGAAACCTCCGGCAGAACCAGGCTCAGGGAGGGGCAGGGCCATCTGCTGCGACTGGTTGAGGTGAGAGAAGGAAGACTTTTATGACTAATATGTAATTATTTAAAGCACACAGGATACAGTGAAATGAATATTGGTACTGATGACATATTTATTTCCTCCTGGGTCTTTGACACTGCGAGTGACCTCTTTCATATTGAACACTGATGATGTAAGCTTTCATCTGGTGCAGCTTTGCATATTTTACAAACCTTTCCACTTTGCTAATGCAAAAATATCAATTCAAACATGGTATTAAATGTGTGAGAAAAACTGCAGCAATTTTCTAATCTCTCTGTTACAGGGTCACACCATTAATACAGCTTCTATTTGTGACTTGTGGCTTAAATGCAGCTAACTCTCAGTGTCTTTATATATGTCTGGCAGTACAACTTCTGGACAGGACAGGTTAAAAATAAATAAATAAATGTATATAGGTCTACATTTAAAATCTTCATCTTTTAAACAGTGGATGGTGTCTTTAAAGAGATTTTTCATCTGCACTGGCAAAAAAAAAGCAAAGTAAAGAAGTTAAATGTCAAGAACAGCTATTGCTTTTAACAGAAACCCCTCAAAGAATCTTGGAATTGTGATTGTTTTTCACTTATTTGACAGCAAATAACCAATAATCCATATTTCATGGAGATGTAAGCATACTGTAAACTGTAGCTGCTTTGAAACATTGCTCAAGTACAGCTTCAACGTCCTCTCCATTTCAGACCCGCCACTCATGTTTCTCCAGTTCAATTGTTCACTTTAACCTTATTTAACAGCCTTATTGACGCTATGTTATCTCAGCAGGTAAGAAGAGCCCCGGCGCTCTAAGTCGTCCACCAGCATCGGAAAAATCAGCCTCATTAATAAAACTGTTAACCCATAACAGCTGATCCATAGCAATCAACCGATTTGCACCTGCATGATCAATGAGGCGGGTTAATACTGCGTGGTTAGAGAAGCAGAGAGGGTGGGGGGAGAGAGACAGTAGGTGGATGGTGAGGATGTCTCACTTCAAGATCGGTCAACTGTTAAATGAGCAAAACCAAAGATTCTCATTTGTGCTTCCGCCCACTTTTTAAGCAGCCACTGACATCTAACACATATGTGGGTGTGCACAAACACTCACACCTACGCATGCCTGGCCAAACGGCCCCCACTCACACACACACATGCACGTGTGCACACACACACACATGCATTATGAATGTCCTCGATTTTCCTACATGGATACTGTAGAACTTCTCAACATTTAAATAGCAGTTTGAGGCTTTACTTCAGATCAGAATGATTCAATGTCGTGTGCAATGTTCACAGATACGTTCACGATTAAACACACGCACACACATATAACGCAGTGTCACTGGATGTCAAACAGGCAGCTCTTGACGTGGAGTTTTATGATAAGCTAACAAACAATAAAAGTGAAGCTCTCCGTTGTATCACTGTAACGAGCACGCTTGCGCACGGCTCTCAAACATTCAGAGGGATACACAGGATGCACACTCAAGGCAAATCACGCACACGCAGACACACACTCTGAGGGCGCTGAGCAGGGAGTATAAAAGGGGCATCCTTCCCACTCAGCGCAGAAGTGCTCTCACTCTCACACACTCCTATAACGCGCTGAAGATCTGTCTCAAGGTAAGCTTTATTTGCTTTGTGGCAGGTGATTTGAGGCTTTTATGAGGATTGTTAAACTAAGAATTTCCTTCTTTTTTTATTATTCTTTTGTTTTCTTTATAATCATTTCAAAATTCAAACACAGAGTCTTTTCTAAAACAGACAAAAAGTGAGGTACAGAGGATAAAATCTGATATTTTTGTGCTAAGCTTTAATTCTTTGAAAGCTACACATGCTCCCTCCTTATTTATACAATTTGATTAATATGATTTGACACGAATTCATAAAACAAATTCCAGAGACGTTTCCCAAAATCAAAATGGACATTTTTGTCTGCAATAAAAATCAAGTCACTTCCACCTGGTGAAGCTGCATTCATGATATCTACCCTCAGTTATCTAATGTGGCCAGAGTGTGTTGCGCGCGGGTGACTGTGTTAATATGTTAATATGCTGCCCTCATTAATGTGTTGAGTCAGAGTAATTTTCAGTTGTGAAGGAGCGCTTGTCTGGCAGATGGTCCAAGCTGTTGTTTCTCACTCTGGACTGCATCTCTGATTCCTTCTCATTAAACTTCTGTTTGCTCCTCTCCCACCGCTCTCAGATGAATGCTGGGCTGTGTGTGTGTGTCGTGCTGGCAGTCCTGTGTGCGAGCTGTTTGGGGCTCCCCTTCTCCTCCCAGCCATTAGACGAGGGCCAGCGCCCCATCTCTGCTCTCTCTGAAGGTAAAAGTTGCGACACGTTTCTCGCCATCACAGTGAGTTTTTGTGCCTGACTCGTGCTTTTCTTGCCTGTTTTGAGCAGCTCTCCTTGAGGCTGACACCCACACCTTGGGAGATCTCCACCTCCGACACAGGCGCTCTGCCCCCCAGCTGAAAGCTATTCCTCTGGCTGAGGAGGATGCAGACTCCCGGGCCAATCTCAGTGAGCTGCTCGCTAGACTCATCTCCTCCAGGAAAGGTGTGTTAGTGAGTGTGAGGAATGTGGATTTAGGTGGCATCCTTTCCATGCCTGCAGCCTTAATTGATATATGTGTTTAGAGAAGTGTCTGTGTGCATGTGAGTGTGAGACGAAAAACATCTGGCAACAGTAGTATTTGGAGCGCAGTGCTTTTTCCTGCCTTCCCCCTCCCCTCAGTCATGCTAATTACGGGAATTAGTGCACAACCAGCTTTGTAAAATGAATTAGTGGCTCTGAAAAGCTCTTGTGGTTTGAAAGAGCACGTATTAGTGTGTAGAGCCTTCCGGCCACTTGCCTCATACCATCTTATTTCACTTTTGTTTTCCCCCTATCTGACTTCACATCACTTTTTTTTCTTTTTTTTGCTAAGGAAACAAACCCTCGACCCTGTCGTAGATTATAACGTCCAGCACTCACATCTCTTGGACAGCTGACCGGACAGGGGAAAACACACACACGCACAGACACACTGTCAGAATCAGACTTTTCCACTTGGCGTCCAGATACTGAAACTGACTCCTTGCGTGTCTCTTTGTAGGACAGTTTGTACAGACTGAAACATTTTGCAGAGCTACAGATGGACAGTGAAATCTTTTATTTTGGCATCAGTGGCTTTAGTGAGAAATCTGGATTTTGTTTTTACCCCGTTCTTTAGCTCATTTTTTCAGCTTAAATAAAACACAAATATGTATTTGAGTTACAGCCGTACTTTTACTTTGCTGTTGTGTAATATCGATTATAAAAGTTCCCCAGACTCAGAAAGCGTTGGGCCAGACAGTGAACACTCTAAAATGTCAGAGGGCGCCGTGAAACTCATATGTAATGCCTCGGGGAATGTGTGTTTCTGTTAATCGTGCGTGTGCGATTGTGGGTGTCTGTGCTCATGTGCATGCTGTTCACTTGCATGTTTTGGTGTGGGAGGTGTCGTTATCGAGTCTTTCTGCAGCCAATCTTCTCAGCACGCCAGGGAGTTGAAACGCAGTGTGTATGCATGTGCATGCCGCCGTGTGCGTGTGTGTGTGTGTGTTGTGTGGGAGGATGTGGGTGGAAAAAAAACTCCATCTCTGTGAGCGTCCAATTGATTACCAAACGGAGAGCAGTTCTGCTCCAGTTCACTTGGAACAGAAATCAAAAGATCGGAAGCAGATGTGTTCTACAAGATCTGTGTGTGTGTGTGTGTGTGTGTGTGTGTGTGTGTGCGTGTGTGCGGTCATTTCTCTGCAAAGCACACACAAATTTCTGCACACATGCACTGATACAGCGATCATGACACACAGGAAGGGAGGCTAATGGCACGCTGTCAGGCTAGACTTCAGCCGTGTCTTTAGTGTGTGTGTGTGTGTGTGTGTGTGTGTGTGTGTGTGTGTGTGTGTGTGTGTGTGTGTGTGTGTGTGTGAGAGAGAGAGAGAGAGAGAGAGAGAAAGAGAAATAATGACGATGTGAGCTCAGAATCACTACCGGGCAATTACAATGCCCAAAAGACACCCAGTTTACCGCAAAGCGCTCACAAAATGAAGCGAAGATGAGAACATTTTTTCAAAGCCCAGCTCACCAGCCAAATATCCTCAGTGCGGAGAGCCAGTTTTCGAATATTGTGCGCACTTTTTCTTCTAGAAGGCACAAATAAAGAATTAAATTAAGCTGTAAGCTGGTAATGAACACAGCTAACTGGCAAAGTGCCCTTAAGTGCACAAAATGTGCCTTAAAAAGTTGGAAAAGAGATGCAAATTTAGATATTCAAAAGATAAATCCCTGAAAATGAGCTTTTGTGCAGAGTCTATAAACTGCTTGGTTTATGAGAGCACTTATTTGCTCAGCGTTTCCCACATTTTTAAATTTCCTGCATGTGCTAAAAACCTCTCTGCCCTGCTCAAGCTTCTCGCGGAATTAAAAGTCTGATTCATGTCTCTTACTTTGAAAATCAGAGCGTCTCTATGCAAAATAAGAAATCAAAAGTAAGATTTCACCGCAGAGAAGTTCTCAGCTTCTCTCATGCTCTCCTCACTCAGAGGAATACTAATTTCACTCATGCTCTTTTTCTCTCCTCCACCCACGCTTTTTTCCCTCCTCCCCTCCAAGGTTCTGTGCGCAGAAACTCCACGGCAAACAGCAAAGGCGTCGGACCGAGTGCCAACCACCGGATAGCAGACAGGGACTACTTAGGCTGGATGGATTTCGGCCGCCGCAGTGCAGAGGAGTATGAGTACTCCTCATAAGGGGAAGTCATGGCTCACACGACCACCACCATATGGGCACAAGATAAAAAGAAGAAAAAAAAAACCCTGCGCAAGCTGTCTCACAATAAGAGTCTATTTATGATGTATTTGTTGTACATTTGTTTGTAAAACTGTAATAATGCAATATACATACAGTATGCCAAATTTTGCAGAAAAGCTCTCACTGTCCAACTTTCTTCGTTTTTTGGATTTCTCTGGTTTCTTTATCATTCAAAGTGGAAAGGAGTCGGATGGTGTCAGGGCTTGTGGAAAGTAACCAAATAAAGATTTAAACTATCGCTCTGCAGAAGTATTCTTCCAATGCACGCTGCTTAAAGTAGATGCATTCACATTCAACTGCTGTTACGTAACATGCGTGCCGAAGAACCAGATTATCTGAAACACTTAATTTCTAGTGCAATCATACTCTTTTATATAGCAAGGAGCCGAAATGACAACATAAGCATGGACAAATACTCAGTACATATTTACTTTGGTGACAGTTTGTGAGAGTAGACGGCTTGTAAATCAAAGGTGGCAGATAAAACATCCCAGTCAGGGTTAGGGTCTACTTTATTTAAGTGTTTCTACATCTAGGATTAACAGTTAAAAGGCACATTTGAACCCAGGATCTTCTTGCTGTGAGGCAACAGTGCATACTACTGCACCATTTAATTACTTAATTTGCCTAAATAAAGTAACCTATTGCCTCATTTAAATAAAGTTATATGTTGTAACTGCTATCATTTATTTTGAGTCCCGGTGATTAAAGTAATAAAACCACTGGCTGTATATAAAAAATGGAAGTTGCCCTCTGGTTTGTTGACTCACATTTCTAAAACCTTAACATTTTGGCTGCTGCAGTTTATTTTGAAGTCAGAAGTTGCTATGTTTAGATTAGCAAGTTATCATCATCAGTTAACGCTAGCTACTTTAAATATCAACATCTATAAACTCTACATGTGCAACACAGAGACTACTGCTAACTGATGTTCTTCAAAAGGCACAAACACCTCAAGAAATTATGGTGTGCTCCAATTCAGTGACCAGTCTTTGTGGAGTGAAACATTGCAGGAACTGATTTGCCACAGCTGCCTCTTAATCTATATATCCTTGCCTGTCAGTCCACAGTTTTAATAAGACATCACTCTCTGTGTATTATAAAGGAGAAAACTATCCATAGAGATCCTGATCGCTTTGAACATGTTAATGTGATACTTGAAGGTTGGAGTCTAACGCTGCAGTCTGTGGGGAAAGACTGGTTTTTCACATTAGCCTCAAGTGTTCTTTAAAGGAAGTGGGGATTTGAGCTTTTCCATTTTGAAAGAGCCAAAGGTTGATAGTTGAATAAAACTCAAACTTAATACACTATTCCAAAGTAAGCAAGCTCTGCTTGCATGTTAGTTTAGAGTTTAAGATAAATCAACTCAGAAAAATGTGATCATGAAAGGTTTTATTTATTTACTGTAGAAAGCCAAAAGTAGTTAAATGAACAACAACATTACATATCAGTTGACAGAGATGTCCAACACACTGCACGGCTAGTGCAAACACTATTTTTATTAACATTTGGACATCAACTCAAAAGCAAATCTTTAATCTCAGAGTCCGAGAAAATCTCAGAGTCGTCTTGGTCATGGTCACTAACTAAACCTTATCCCTGCTCATGGCCAGAACTTTGGAAACCACATGATACATTCACTACAATTAAAGTTTAAAGGCACAGTGTGTAAAATGTCACCACTAGATGCTTGTAGATTGTAGACTGCATTCTCCTGAATTCAGTTTTCTCACCCCTCCCATTTTAAATCCATAATTCTAGCTATGGCAGTCACTGTAAGACAAACAACTGTGGCTGTAGTGATTGTAGACTGTTAGTCTGCTGTTTACCTCAGCTGACATTATTTACTCTGGAGGAGTCAGATATGAGTCGATGAGTCAGTGAAGTTCACTTCTGTTCAACTACAGCAATAAAGAGGTGAATTTTTGAGGATATCCTGAACTTCTCTGTCAGTAAATGCTGTTGTTTTCGCTACTGTTAGCATCTGTTAGCATCTTTTAGCTGCCTTTAGTGAAACTGTCGTTATTGGACCTAATATTGTTGAACTTGGATGCTTAGAGAATAAACTCTCATACAATATAAGAATGTAATCAAACTGCCTATCAGAGGGAAAGTGTTATTTTTAGCACACTCGAGCCTGACATTAGCTTCCTTAATGTTAGCTGTTGTTGTTGTTTAGCTGGCTTCCTGTCAGTTCATGTATGAAGCGTCTTGAGGCGACTTATGTTGTGATTTGGCGCTATATAAATAAAATTGAATTGAATTGAATGTCAGGACAACATGGTGGCTTCCATTAACTGGCGCCTTCTCCTTTGCATTTTTAATGGATTCTAAGTTTATGAGAACACGTCAATGTGTTGTAATACATAATTATGTTATATCTGTCAGTACAATACTCTTTTTTTCTGTCAAATAACCTTAAAAATGACTGACTGCAACTTTAAATTGGCATTGTAAAGCGCTTTGGGAGCCTTGAAAAGCGCTATATAAATCCAATCCATTATTATTATTATTAAATGCTGCATATGTGAAATAACATTTAAGAAAATCTTTATGTAAGGTTAAAAAGCAACATTACAATTATTCTTTTCAGTTGTCAGTGTGTAATTGTATATATTTAGAAAAACGAGTTATTAAAATATTAAATGAAAGTAGGTATGCAAAATGTACATGAGCCTGAGCATAAGAAAGCAAAGTTTAAATATTAGCATAAACTGAGCTAAAAGCACTAATTTGTTGCAAGCAAGCTGTTTATTTTCATTTATAGTGCATTTTTAGTGAAGCTGAACCTTCAGGATGAAGTACCGAAAGTGAGTCCCTTGGAGCTAGTGATAGAGAAAGACAATTACTATCTGATTCTGCCTAAAGAATAAAGATACAGACCACAACTGGACTGTAGCCATGGCCTTGGTGTGACGGGTGGAGTAAATCAAAGCTGGGAGTCTGGGGTCTGTCATTCCCTCCAACACTGAATTACCATTTCTGATCTCAGTATCTGCAAACATTGGCTCATCTCTTTTACTAATATATGCTTTTATCATCTGACTTTTCTCCTCACTGTACTGCTCTCTACTTTTCTTCTTTTTCATACACATGATGAAACTGTGTGAATAAAGGCCCGCTGCAGTGAAGTTGCTTGCACTTGCAAGAATATTATAACACTAATCCACTGTAAGCAAGTACAACTAAATGGTAAGAAACTACTGCTAATTGCATAAATTATATATGCAATACAGCATATATAGCGTACACTTCACTCAGACTTGATGTCCCCTAATAAATCAAATATAATTGTTGACTGGAGCCCATGCTCACCATTTCTGGTCCTTGGGAGAATGTGTAGCTAATTTGATAACTAAGATATGTTAGCAGGTGATAGCAGTAGATGACTGGTTTGCAGCCACATGTTTTCAGGAAAAAAAAACTTTCACTAAGCGGCCAGCTGGAACTACTGCAGCTCCTTTAGTGGCCATTTGAAGCTGGCTTAAAAATGAGCCAATCCCCAGAGACTGTTAAATGTTAAAATACACAGCTTTACAAGCTTTACAGCATGTTTACACCCTCATACAAAAACAATATTGGTCTCTATTGATGGTTTCTCCCTGGTGATTTTGTAAAATAACTACTCCTCCTGATTACTGGGAGATGGCAAAATGACTGCTTTGGTTAGCATCATTCTGACATAGGCAGCTTTAGCGTCAGCTGACAGCTGTGTACTTGCTGTTACCTTCACTAACTGGATGTTTCCACCATGTTTGTAGTGTTAGTGCCTTTTAGAGCATTTTAATTGAATTAAATTAAATAACATAGTCTCCTGTGTAGTTCAGACCATTGTTTGTCATCCAGATTGGACTTCGATGTCTATCTGAAAAATATGCATTACCTGACTGGTTGTGAGTTGTTGTTAACAATAACAGAAATTGCTGAGGGCCCATAGGTCTAGAGACCAGTCAGTGACTCACTGGTAACTAGGCAGACGTTTTTATTCTGCAACAGGTTGGCAAGTGGTTGGCAGAGGTTGCTGGCAGACTCTAATGTGAAACTGGTCGCAAAGAGGTATGTGGTGCTGCACCAAAACCTCCTTGCATTTGCTTTTGTCACAAGCAGGTTGCCGCAGTCAGTAATAGCATGCGTGCAAGATGCCAACCTGACTGCAAACACTTGCCAACTACTTGCAAAGCTGCACTGAATCTGTAAAAAGTATAGCGCCAATTGAAAACAGAGAACGTTCGCCTTCAAAGTAAAAGTTGCATATTTTGGAATTTGTTGGTCACAGCGACAAGACATGACACTTTTTTTGTTTCACTTCTCATTTGCACTGCACTCTTTCAAGTTTCACTACAGTTTGGTGGACAGTGATTATTTATTAGTATTTTGTTAAAAAATCTATAACATCAATCTTATGTTAAAGGGAAAGAGAAGTGCGTTGCAAGCATTGTATAATCACGCGAACACAGAGGTCATCCTACGCAGAAGATTCAATTCAATTTTATTTATATAGCGCCAAATCACAACAAAACTGGGAAGGAAAAACTCCCTTTTAACAGGAAGAAACCTCTGGCAGAACCAGGCTCAGGGAGGGGCGGGGCCATCTGCTGCGACCGGTTGGGGTGAGAAAAGGAAGACAGGATAATTAAAAAAAACCTTGCAGGGACATGAAGAATTATGGGTAATGGTGTTGTCTTTAGAATATGATGAATGTAAAGGAGAAAACGTCTAAGGCTGACATAAAGGGACAACTTGGAGCAGCACAAAGGAGATGAAAGTCTGAGAGCGTATCATTTAGGGAGCCAGCTGGAGAAAGTTCAAAAATATCTTCAAAAGAACAGCAAGATCATTATGAGCTTTAACGTCTATGCTAAATATTGAAATGGCTTGAAGCGTCTGGGGGAAATTGGTATCAATTGAATTATTAAAGCAGGTCTGAATCTAAATCCTAATAATTGCTTTTGACTCTACTTGAGAGGCAGGAAAGGCTTTTGTGGAGTCTGGTATATTTTGGCGTGCTGTGAAAACAATGTAGGCAAAGAGAAAAGCTGATTTGATAGCTCGGCACTGACAGTTAGTCATATTGTTTACTCCAGTCTACTTGACATTTTGGCTCTTTTCTTTGAAATGATCTTGAAAACAATACCAGTGGTTACAAAGGGTTATAAAGTTGAGCCTGTAGAAAGTATTAGCAGACACAATAGCCACAGTGGTGGTGAATTATAATGAATGATGCCCATTATGCTGCTCCTGGCTGTGTGTGTTAAGTGAAAGATGTGTCTTTGTGAGCGAGAGGTGGAGAGGGCGATCGATGAACAAAGCAGGTTTGGTGAATTATTCAGAGAAGTGGGCTGGGAAACCCTGGGGGGAAAAGTTTGGTTTTGCTGTGCCTGTGTATGTGTGTGTTTTGGGCATTAAAGCCACTGGCTTGGACTGAGGTCGCACATGAAGCAAAAACCTACAGAGCCTTGAGATTCACAGCAATCCATGGGAATCGATTCAGCCTTCTGTTTAAAGAGCTGAGGCCAGAAAGGCTACAGAACTAAAAAGGCTTAGGAAAGGTTTAAAGGCTTCAGTGGAACGAGCTGTAAATGTCTCCATTTGTATCGTGCACATCTGTATGTGTGTGTGGTTTCAGAACTGTCAGTGCAGGAATAAAAAAGGTCAAAGCCTACCATAAGCCTACCATATCCTATGTTAGGCAATTTGACCACTCCTGTATGGACAAGATTTTGTTTATGGGCAAAGCCACACAGTGATGAAAGGAACAGGCGTGAGGCTTTAATGAAGTTCCAGCCACGTTGATGAGCAGATGGTCTGAGCTCTTCCTGAAACTGGCTGAATATGCTGCGTTTCATTCTGTTCTATCCATCTCCAAAACTTTCCTTCCTTTGACTTCAGATCTGTCATTTGAAACACATTTCAGAGGCGTCTAAAAGAAAAGGGCTTGTGGCAAAATAGGGAGTCTTTAATGCCTCTGATGTTTGGAGTTGAACTCCAAAATGCTCCGATTCCAAGCTTACATAACGCAGATTCATCTAACAGCACCACCACCTGACAGTGCAGCAAAGACGCTGATCATAAAATGGGATAGCTACGCATTTTGAACTGTTAGAAAGATGTCTTAGTGTTGCTGCATAGAATACATATGGCAGGGGCCAGTTAGCTAATAGGACTCATTAAGTAGTTCCTGTAATGCTTGTTATTTTAGCATACTTTTGTTATTAATGGTTGCAATTTTAATTTATAATTATAAAGAAAGTTGAATACAATATATATAAATGGCTCAGCTGGTAAATTTCCCAGTACGAGAGGCTCAGTTTTGTAACTAAAATAGGAAAAAGATAGCTCTTGTGTTTTATTTAGCTTGGTAGCTATTGCTACCCAGTGATCATGGTTCAAGCAGTGACAGTTAAAAAGAACGAAGGACTGTAGGAAGGAATATTAATACAATAGAAGTTCAATCAGATCCTCCAGAGCAGTACACCTTAAACAGGCCATCACAAATGAACTCAAAGTGATAACTAACCATTCATGCACACTTTCACACCTTTGGGCAATTTACAGCCACCAGTAACACTAACATGGATATCTTTGGACCAGTGTTGGGAAGGTTACTTTTAGAATGTATTCCACTACAGATTACAGAACACATGCTCCAAAATGTATTTTTACTGTATTCCGTTACGTTACTCAATGAGAGTAACGTATTCTGAATATGTTACTATATAAAATAATAATAAAGCCTGAAATAATTATAGCTTGTATTCATTTTCCTGCTAAAAGCATGTCTGTTAATGACTTTATTGTAGTTTATATTCACACATGTCTTTAATATCTTCGTAGACTCATCAGACACCTTTTAATGCTTATAACCGACATGTTAAATCAGCCAATCACGTGGCAGCAACTACATGCAACATTTAGGCATGTAGACATGGTCAAGCTGACCTGTTGAAGTTTGACGTGACCATCAGAATGGGGAAGAAAGGTGATTTAAGGGAGTTTGAACATGACATGGTTGTTGCTGCTCAGAATCTGATCTACTGGGAGTTTCCCACACAACAATCCCTGGAGTTCACAGAGAACGGTCTGAAAAAGAGAAAATGCCCAGTGAGCCATTGCTCTCTAGTGAAAAGGCCTAGTTGATGCCGGAGGTCAGAGGATAATGGCCAGACTACTTGGAGCTAATAGGAAGGCATCTGTAACTCATATAATCACTGGTTACAAACCAAGTTATGCAGAAGAGCATCCTTGAGTTCACAACACGTCAAACCTTCATCATCTACACGAGCAGAAGACCACACTTAATGTCACAGAACAGGAAACTGAGGAAACTCATTAAAACTGGACAACAAGAGATTGGAAATATGTCATCTGGTCTTATGAGCCTCGATTTCTGCTGCAACATTCGGATGACAGGATCAGAATTTGGCAGCAACATAAAGCATGGATCCATCCAATGGTGGGGGGGATATCTTCTTGGCACACTTTAGGTCCATTAGTATCAATTAAGTATTGTTTAAACGTCACAGCCTACGCGAGTCCATGTTCATCCCTTTATGACCACAGTGTACGCATCTTCTGATAGCTGCTTTCAGCAGGATACAGCTCCATGTCTCAAAACCTCAAATCATCTCAGACTGTTTTCTTCAACATGACCGGATGTTTACTGCACTTAAATGGTTTCTATGGTCACCAAATCTCAGGCAAGTACCTAAGGAGACACATTTAGGATGTGGTGGAAGAGGTGATTCCCATCACGGATGTGCAGCAGACAAATCTGCAGCAATTGTGTGATGCTACTGAATCAAAAATTCAGAGGGATGTTTCCCATCAATAAGTAATCTTTTCACTCACTGTAGTGCACATCTTTGCAATCAGGAAAAGCTACTAATCCCATTTCTCGAGAATATCATCCTGTTTGTTTTAGGTGCTTTTCCCCCACTCATCTGCACAAATCAGGTCCAGACACTCATTCTTCCACATTCGAGTGGGAAAAAGGAAACATGCACAGGAAAAAAATCTTTTTATTTAGGTGTTTGACTTTCAAGAGGAACTACTGCGAGGGGCTTGAATGTCAGCACTTGAACCGGTTAACAACCAATCATAGCCCAGCATTTATAAAGACCACCAAGCAGTCTGCAATCCAGGGGCTAAGCGAAGACATTACAGAGAAACAATGTTGTATGGTAAATTTTAAAAAACAAACAAATACCCCAAGCCTTTAATAAACACTAAATCCTGTGAGAGTAGTCTGGGTGTCAGTTATTGAATAAAAATGATGCTTCCAGACATCCTGTCCACTGTCACCTAAAATGAGCTCGTCTGGTATATGACAGGTACCAAAGCTCATCTGTTGGGGCTGTGTCATTACATCCAACAAAAATAAGGTTATGAAATAAGATTATCAAAGTGCTTCTGTAAGATGACAAATATCTGACATGAGCGACGTCACTGGCATTTGAAACCAGTTTATTTTTTCTAATTAGACTCGCCGCCTGCCACTGTGACATTTTTTGGTTATTGCTCACCTCTCATTCACCTGTGGCCAGCCTAAGTTTAATAAGCAGCCTTCGTCATATCCCCTCCACGAGATCCAGATGGTGAATGGGTAATGGATGATGACTGTAGACAGACAGATGAACGCAATACACATCCTCGCCGTCGCGTGTCGAGTTATTTGTGAGCACCATCTGCTGGAGGAGGCCAAGTAATCATTTCCTGCGTGTGTGGCTTTTCTTTACGTCGTTATTACCCCCTCTTCAATTCTGAGTCATGCTTTAAAACTCCATCACACAGAAAGGGAAACGAAATCCTATTAATAAAGGATTGTTTGATGACTTTTTATTTGGAAAAACCCTGATTACATGCTCACCCAGATACTTACAGCAATGTGTGGTTCTTGGTTAAAGCACTACAAATAATGGTTCATCTACACATGACATTATAGTGACTGTGAACAGTATATATATACAGTCTGTAAGACGATGCTATTTTTTACAAAAAAGATATCTTAAAATCAGGATTTTTAAAAATAAATAAACACAAGTGCAAACTATGGTTGCGTGAGCGCCTTTGGACCTGCATGACAAGGGAAAAATCACAAAACACAAGGCTGAGGCACTGTATTGCTTCATTCTCTTCAACCATAAAACAATAAGGGAAAAATAGCTGAAAGCTTCCAACCACGATAAAGCAATCCCTCAGTGTATTGATCTCTCCAGTTCAGTGGAAGTACCATCAGCTTTACTGTCTAACAGCCATTTAGAAAATGAAACTGAAGTACCTTTAACACTGGCGTGAAATCTATTTGATGATTTAGTGAAAGTGACTTGTCAGACTCACACTTAATCCCTTCAAAAGAAAGGAGAGAGAGACAGAGGATGACATATTTTATGAATTCGGTGTACTTTTTTTTAAAACCACTTATGAAATTTTCATCTGCTAGTATTGAAGTAGAAAGGCATGTTTCAGTGCTACAGTGACTACAAATAGCCAGCCAGTGCATGGAAGATTTAGCAGAGTGCACCTGTGTGAGTCTGGATGTGCGTGGGATTCTGTGGATGTGTTTCAGAAAAGGCAAGAGTGGGAGTACTACATCTAGCCAGCAGAGTCAGTCTCCAAAGCAGGAATCCGAGTGATATTTCAGTAGCTCGCTTTCAGTGTATTCTGTTTTAACGGGTCAGTTCACCCAATTATGTAAAATTAAGTTACATAAAACTGGCTTTGTGTGTCCAGAATTTTAGATATCTGAATATTAGAGAGTGAGCAGAGATTACAGCAGCTCTATAAAGAGTGCTTTGACTTACATGCAAAACTCAACATGCTAACAATGACAAGGAAAGACTTCCAGATGCTCAAAAGCATTTCATAGGGGGTGCTTGTGCATCCATCCATACATCCTCTGCCTCCTCCGGGTAGGACTTGTCATCAGGTGATCCTATTCAGATGCCTGAACCCCCTCAACTGCCTCCTTTTGATGTGGAGTAGTAGTCCTCCAAGTCTGGCCTGAATAACTAAGCTCCTCCCCTTATTTCTAAGTGAGACCCATTTCTGCTGCTTGCATCAATTCCACAGGGTGGGAACAGCTACCATTAAGGGTTCCTCCCTTAATGGCATGTAAATGCTATAAATTCTTTCCTGATCAATCCGTGGGCATTAGAAAATGACAAAATATTTATGTATATTATTAGCTTCCGATTAAGAAAACTTTAAGTAACTGTGTTTTTATTTCGGTGCAGACATATTGTCAGTTTTCCACTTTAGATTAATAAGAAGCATTTGTTGCTCACGGACATGGAAGAAACTAGTTACCATCTTAAGAGTTAAAGTCAAAATAAAGCTGAGGTGGGTGTGTTTGTTTTTAATTTTGCAGGAATTCTGGCAAAAATTTAAACTCAGACCTGTTGCAGCTAGAGAGAAGGTGAGCCTCTCCATCACTTTTAGTTAGTCTCATCATTAAAACCAGAACTACCGCAGGTGTTCGAAATATAAGCAGCTGCATGTATTATTCAGCACCTTCCCACTGTCTATCAGAAAACTGACTAAGTGTTCCTTCCTAGACCCGTCCTGTGAGATCCAATCAAATTCACATTTAGCACTCTTAGGGGGAAAAAAGTCATTTAATTATGCCGTTCAGGTACGTCATGCTTCTAAAAGCCAAAACTGCATTAGCCTTTTCCCCTTAATTTTTACATAATTAAATTAAAAAGAGTTCGCTTCTCGAAGAAAAACACTAATTTTTATAAAAATGAAGATGAATGCAGGTGACGTGGGAGCACTTGTTTTCAGTTCGGCAGGAATTCTGGCAAAAATTTTAATTCAGACTTGTTAAAGCTAGAAAGAATGTAAGCTTCGTCATCACCGTTTAATTTAATTTAATAACTGAAAGTCTTTAAATGTCACTGTTCAGTACTTACACAGAAGAGCCTCCAATCTGTCCGGTCATTTTAGCAATATCTCAAAATCTGGGCACACAAAAGCAAAAGTACAGCACAGACAGTATAGAAGATGTTGCTGTGTAGTTTGGATGAACTAACCCTTTAAGTTATTATTTTTCTCTTCGTTCAAGCGTGAATCACCACTGTAAAGCACTACAGAGGTGTAGTGTTTGTGTAAAACTGTAGCTGTGATTAGAAATAGGTCAGTAGTGCCATGTTGCTGTTGTACAGTGGAAATATTTTTATGGGCTCCAGGTGACTGATCAACAGCCAGTCCTTGGCCCTGCTGGGCTCCTACTCATCTACCCTGTTGGCCAGCAGCTATCCAGACTACTCTTGGGGCCCTGGGGCTTTCATGACCATGCTGGCTCCTACCATGCCTGGATAACTCCGGTTCCTCCTCATTCCATCAGGTCCAAAAGGGGAGCCAGATCTACGCAGTCCACCCAGAGGCCCTAGCATGGGACCAGGGCTCATCGCTCTGCTTCCGGGGGCTCCAGCCACACCCAGACGCTTCACCTTGTCTACCAGGTTCAGATTGTGGACGGCCACGCTAACGTCTGTTTGGCTTTCACAGTCCCTGCCTCGCTGCCTGCCTCTCATCCCCCCTGTCACCTCCTTCAGGATGGAACGGGCTGGTTTGGAAGCCAGGAAGTTCTCATAAGAAGGACTCTTGAAGTCAAACCCAGCGGAGCTTGGCACAGCTGAAGCTCCCTGTCTTGTGGGAGAGTTTGGAGGGGTCGAGGGTCGCATAGGATCGGGATTAGGTGTTCGGTTGGGGGCAATGGAGGTGCTTAATAGGACTCCTCCGCTGCCCTGACCCTGCTCCAGGCCCTGGCTCTGGTGATACACAGCTGCTGAGATTCCTCTCTCCTGGAGAAGACGTACCAACCCCAGGGAGGTGCTGGTGGTGCGTGTAGCATCTCTGCACAGACATGAGACAAAATACACACATAATGTCCTTTCTTAGAGGAACAGTTCACACCAAACTCAAATGCATATAGTTTTACTGCTGATTATTTATCCAAATAAACAGCCAGCTATAACCAAGGAACTACACCTGTCAACCAAAGGAAGCATTCAGCCCGACAGAGAGGGAAGGCATTAATGCTTACAATACCACAAGTCTGTGATCTCATGCAGTTGAATGCAAACTTACTTTTTCTATGCACTCAATTAAATATGACATTATATAAAATATGAAATTAGCTAAAACAATCTTTTGATTTTACTTTGTCTTTTAAATAAAAAGGAAAATGTCAGAATATGCAGTTTCTTGCCTGAGGTTAGTTGAGGATTCAGAGGGCCTGAGACTGAGCCTGCGGGACGTGCAGGGAGTAGCAGCAGGAGTACCCAGCAGAGTGCTGGTCATCACACAGGAGGACGATGCAGGCACTGGGTTTAAACTGGAGGGAATGAGAAGATTTCATCTAGGTTAACAAAAAAATATAAATATATAAATCACACTTTCAGATGGTCTCATCATTAAAACCAGAACTACAGCGGGTGTTCAAAATATAAGCAGCTGCATGTATAATTCAGCACCTTCCCACTGTCTATCAGAAAACTGACTAAGTGTCCTGCCTAGACCCGTCCTGTGAGATCCAATCAAATTCAGAATGAGTGCACATTTAGCACTCTTTCGGCTTCTAGAAACATGATGCATCTGAACGGCGTATTTAAATGACTTTTTTTAAGAACTGCATTCGTTTTTTCCCACTTAATTTTTCTTGTCACTACAGTGTGTGAAGTGGCATTAAGTGCCGTTTTAACTTTCTAAAAGGGTGAGCTTCTCGAAGAAAAACATTTACTAATTTTTATAAAAATGAATTACTCGATTTTTTTTTTTTATTGTAAGGTAAAGACCCTACAATAATACAAAGAAAACTCAGAACCAGAGTTTCATTTTAAGCGTCGTTATAAGACCATTTTTAGCAGAAAAGCTCAACTCTGCAGGAGTCAGTTATAGATAAATTTAGTCAGGGTCACTCTAAAAAGAAAAAAGATATTTCCATGTGCAACGATGTCCATGGCTCTGGGAAGCATTCAACAAGCCCCCGGCTCTGAGTAGAGTAGCATTAAAAGGTTATGCTGGGGAGGAGGTGGGTTACAAAGCAGCATGCAGATGTGCACCAGGTATAGGCAGGCTAAAGGAGCTTAAAGAGTGTGCCCATAGTGAGAACTGTTATCCTCATCACCTGCCTGAACTAACACTATGTGTGACTTTCGGTGGCTCGAATAATAACAAAGAGTCGACTCTGATCACAGACACTTAATGATGCCACTCACCTTGGCGTAACCCGCGTCTGCTCATCAGTTGGATGGAGGATCCGACAGGTTGTAAAGGTGTAAGTGGAGCTGGTGTGAGCCATGCATTTACCTGGGTAGTATGCAGCTGGAAGTCAAACACACACAGCCCGTCACTGTCAGTCACCACATTTTAGCCTTTTACACATGTTCAACAATGTGGAAGTATTTATGAACTATACTGCCAGAAGTGTTTGCTCACCTTCACACGCATATGAACTTGAGTGAAATCCATTCTTAATTATACTTTTGGCAGTATAATGTATTTAGAGTCAATGAAAATTTGCTATATGTCCTCACCCAGAGCATCGGTGTTGCTGAGGTGTGGTGATGGTGAGGGCGGAGAAGGTGGGGCCAGGGTGACTGAAGGCTGTACGAGGTTGGCGTCACTTGTACTGGAGGTGGGGGCCACTGCCGGTGAGGCAGAAGCTGAAGAGGTGGGAAGATTTTGGAAGTATTGCTCTCCTGGTTCATCCTCCTCAAAGCCGCCCCATGGGTACGCCTTAACACAAACAAAGAGCCATGCAGGGAAGGGAGAGGAGTGCTTTACAGGTGATAAGGTTTGATTCTCGTTACCAGAGGATGGGCCTACGTTTAAACCAATACAGCGGTACATGTAATCAACGGAGATGGTTTAGCGTGAACACAACAGATACACGCAGAGAAACCTCACACACAGACCTGCTCCAGCTCTAGTTCTAGAGGTCTGTAGCCCTTTGGCACAACTCCTGGCCTGGCGTCCAAGATCACACCCAGGTGAGGCTGGGCTAACTGCTGCCAGTGGTGCAGAGTGGCAGATCCTGGTGGAGAGAAGTGGATTTAACTTAATGTACTTAACTCCACCTGCACCATCTCCAAACACACAGACAAAAAAACATTTAGGGGAATATGAAACGTTTTCAACTGGCTGCTTTACCTTCAGCAGATGTTTTATACCTTAAATCTCCTGAAAATACTTGTTAGCATTTTAAAAGGCATTCCTACGTTAACAGGTTTTAAGAATTATATGTAACTGAGAAGTAACTAGCAGTAACAGCAACAAAACCGATATTGTGCACACACATATCTCAGAGTGTCAGCCAGTAATTCATGCAATTAAGAACAAAAAGTATTTTAGATCCTTTTCTCTAAAGAGCTCATCCATTCAATAAAAAAGTGAAGATGAAGCTAATACTATAAGTGAAGAGGATGGCAGAGAAAGGTGAATATCAGAAAGCTATGATTATCAGAGGAATGATATGAAAAGGAAATGAAATGGAGGAGCAAAGCAGAATGAGAATCTTTTTATTAAGACAGCCACATGGATTAATGGCAGAAAATAAACAGACAGCAAAGAGGTGACAGAGTGAGCAGTGAAAAAATGAAAAAGCTTAAAAAATTCTAAGTTACGAATGAATATGGACAGAACAACGTGTATAAATATATAAGAATACATAAACAAATCCACAATATCAGGGCTTCTGCACGGGGGATAGATTCAGTTTAAATAAAGTATAAAATATTACCAGCAGAGGGCAGCACAGGCCAAAGGAACATGTTTTGAGTGGTTCTATTCTACTTAGCATTATTTTCTATTGCATACAGAGTATACCATTACATATCATAATAAACATAGCCAAAGTTTCATATAAAGACCTCAGAGTATGTGCAAATAATCCCTGAAGCTCGCGATTCAGACTTCTCTTAATGGCCAGCAAGAGCAGGTTTCCTTAATTTTGTCAACTTTGACAGCAGTGTTGCCAACTCCTCAGTAAGGAAAATCGCTATTGGTTGTCCTAAAAATCGCTAGAAGTCGCTAAATGACGTCATCACTTAATTAGCATAATTGGTGATGCTTATGTATTTGCAAACTATGTTGTAGGAGAGAGAAATAACATTGTGGAAGAGACATAAAGTCAGTAAAAAACAGCCTAAATGCATTTAGGATATATTTAGAACTACAAATTAAATTTCTTTTAGCAATTATTGTTTTTTTATTATGTCACAATTCCAACTCTCCTCCTTTATCCAGGCTTGGTACCGGCAAAAGTAACCCGAAATAGGCAGTCTGGCGGAGTTACTTTTTGTGTTTGTTTGTGTGTGTTTTTAAAGTAGTTTTAAACCTTGTGATCCACAAAAAGTATGAGTAAAAGAAGAACCGACTGTTATAGTTAGGGCGGGAGCAGCGGCTTCATGCGCGATTCATTTGCAGTTTGGACGCATAGGGGTTTTTGATACGGGCGACACAGGCGGTTTGCCGGGGCGGCATCGTAGTGGGGCGGCATCACGGGCATCGGAAAAAAATAAAAATTTACTCGTACTCATGCTGCTCCGACATCATGCCAGCGCATATTGGGAATGGCATAGGCACCGATCGGTTTTCTATCGCCCGTTTGCTGGGAGTAAGGGCGCCCTCTGTTTGCGAGGTGCGCGGGTTGTTGCGGCACAGGAAGGAGAGGGCGGGGCGGCGGGGGATTCTCTGGCTGGCTGGAGCAGCATCTAATAACCAACTTGCAAAATAAAACAAAATAAAAACAAAACAACAAACACGAAAACACCAGACATTATGATACAGACTTATAATGTGCACCGATGTTTTTTCGAAATTCTATAAAGTGAGCGCGAGAGCCCTCGGTGCGCCTGCTTGCTGCTGAAGTCAAAGTAAACTTTATTGTCATCTCCGCTACTTACAGTCCAGAGAGACGAGACGACGAGGCTCCAGTTACAGAAGTGCAAGTAAACAAACAATAAATATAAGAAGAGTAAGAAAATAAATATACACTCTAGGACCAGGGATAAAGGGATCAATAACAATTTAAAATTTATAATTTACAATTTGATGATTTAAAGTCTCACACACAACCCGTCGATAGGGGAGGGGGACCGGCTGCTTCCAAATAGAGCACATTTCATTCATAATGTTGTAAATCCAAGTCCATTATCTATTCATGATTTGAATCCTGGGTTGTGTGAAATCCCAGAAATAAACCTTAGACAAAGTGAATCTGTGAACTAAGGTGTAGGTCTGTTAGGTTATGTTGTGGTGATCCTCGGGTTGGGGGATGGGTGTTCATACTGGAGTGCAAAATTAAAAACAATGGAAGATGGACAAGAAAGTTCAAAGCCATCAGGTCCTCAGTTTAGAAAAAAGAGAAAAGAAGATGAGGAGAAACGAGCAAATGATACAGGTAAGCAGATGTGTCATTGGATAATGGCAGGTCATCCTGAAACAATCAGAATCAGAATACTTTATTAATCCCTAAGGAAATTATGTGTGTTACAGTTGGTCCAAGAAGAAATAGTAGCAGTAACAGACTAAACTCCAAACAATACATTATGTTACAGATTTTAACATTAATTAGTCATTGTCAGTTGTTGATTCTTCCTGTTCTCATTGTATGACGAATTATGATGGCTGTTTGGTAGCCGTTTGCATACAATGCATACTCTCTCTCTCTTCATATATGTGTGTGTGTGTGTGTGTGTGTTTCTCTGGCCAGAGGGAGTATTCGCCCAGGGCGCCAAACAGGCTAGGGCCGCAACTGGGTGAACATGTCCTGTTTTGACAGCAGCTGGGGGCGACTTCTGCGTGAGGACGATCCGCCGCCTATGAGCGCTTTGGCACGGGTTGCTTTTTAGAAAAAAAGTCGCTAAGGGGATCTGAAAACTTACTAAATATAGCGACAAACTCGCTAAGTTGGCAACACTGTTTGTCAGTAGAGTTAAACCTTCTGTTTGCGAGGGACAACCAATCAGAAAACACGCGCCTTAAAAAGAACAGGCAGGAAGCCACAACAGTCCGATTCTGACAACGGTACCAAGGTTCAGTAAAGATAAATAAGGTTAGTTTGAACTGTGAATCATATAAAACTAATCTAGCACAGAGTCCAGTAATAAATATTTGGCACTGATCTGGAAATGAGCATAATCTTCTTTAAGGTTAAATCTAAGACACCAGCTCCTTAATTGTACATGCTGACTGAATACTACTGTGACTCTATCACACTGTATAGACCTAAGGTCTGCCTGTTTCCCCTTTTAGCCCCCGATCAGTTCATGAGCAGCAGCCAGTGATTTGGATAGACTCCGTCTTACTTCCTCCGTGTAGTGCATGAGTGCTCAAAGCCACCCTCTGGGCTGGGTTTCTTTGTAATAGCTGTGTGGAGATGCAAAGCTGCCAGACTTGTGATGATGCATCAGAGACCAGAAAGAGTTGAAGAGCATCAGAGACAGGGGCCTCTCTGTCCACTCTTGCGCACTCCTCATCTTCTTGCTGCCGGCTCGGTCTCTAGCCCACCTCCTTCCCCTCTCCCTCTCTATTCCAGCTCCAGTCTTCCTCGTCCATCCCCACACTCTCTCCCTTTCCCCTTGACTGCCATCTTGCCTCCTCTCCCCCTCTGTTCCCCAGCCCTGCCTGCTCCCTTTTTTTGCCCCGGCCCCTCGGTGCCTCTCTCCTTCCAGGTTCCTCCCTGCCTTGCCGTTCGTTCCGTGCTCCCTTTCTACCTCACCTTCGAGTGGTTTGACGATCTGAAGCTTGTCGGGGAGGTAGGGCCCTCGCGAGGCCCAGAGGTGGAGGTTTCCGAGGGACATGATGCTTTCGGATGGGGTTAAGAGACTCTCCTGGGTGAGGGCATCGTGGAGTCCAGGGTGCCCTCCCCGCCGTCGCTCTCGCTCCTCTTCAAAGAAGCGCCTTTCACTTAAATTGTTTTGTCGGCGCAAAGACAGGCGACGCAGAGCAAGCCGCAAGTCCTCTGCCCCACTTGCCTTCTTCTCCTGGCCCTCTGTGCTGTTGACAGAGCAGGGTTAAAACAAAAATCAATCAAATGTTTTAAAATAAAATCATTCTTGAGAAAACTGAGTTTGATTCATACAGATGACAGCAGCTTATCTCGGTCTTACCTGTCCTGATTGGATGCCGTCTCCATTAGGATGCTCTGCGTTCGGTTATCAAGGACTACACTTTCTCCACTAAGGTCACCTCCAAATATGCTGGAGTGGGGTGTGGAGAGACCACTCGATTGGGGTGACGTTCGAGCTGACAGGGACTGGTTAGAACCCGGGATGTTGGAGTTGGTTGGAGTCAGAGAACGCTGACGAACTGTCTGGTTAACATTTTTGACCGTCTCAAATACACGTTTCCGATGGACCCTGCACACAGTCAAACATAGTATTATACTGATGCTCTTCAACAGTGGTTCACAAACCTTTTTACCTTAGTTACTCCCAAAGATGGACTCAAGAACGCTTCACCAAGGTTACATTTATTTGAACTCTTAACATTAAACAAATCCCAACTTTAAGTCGAGTGTTTAAAGCGACTAACAATCAGAGTGAAGAACACCATCCACCATAGCCATGTGAAAAAGAAAGTTTTCTTGTGACACTATGGAGTTCTGTGAAAAACTAATACTCCATGTAGCTTATAGAACCATCAGTAATAACCTGAAGCGATTGTTTTCTCTATGACTTAAGCCATCTCTCACGTTGTTGTGGAGGAATTTTGGTCCACTCTTCTTTACAATGTTGCTTCAGTTTATTGAGGTTTCCAGGCATTCATTTGTGCACAGGTCTCTTAAGGTCTTGCAACATAACTCAGTAGAGTTGAGGTCTGGACATTGACTGGATCATTACAAAACCTTGATTCTTTTCTTTTTCATGCTTTTGCACAGTTGTTGCTGTGCTTGGGATCATTGTCACTAATGCTAAGATTTAGCTGTCAGACAGATGGCTGTGAATTATGACCAGAAGTCTCCAGAAAGCAGTGGAGTCCAAGAAGTAGCTTTCGATTTTTGTGCAGTTTCTTAAGCATTGCATGGTTTGAACTTTGGGTGATTTTTTTTGGACGCCCACAACTAGGAAGACTGTAGTACTATGTTAACACATACCCGAATGCTACAGACCAGGAAACTGCCAAAAGAGAGATACCCACACTTGCTGATGATCAGTTAATCAAGTGCATTTGATTATAAGCACCTGGCTGCAACTTACCCTTTTAACATGGTGTGCTTATCATGGTCCTGAGTCTGAGGACTCAGTGTTTTGTGTTTCCTTATGCTTTTGTTCATTCCGAGTGTGTATTCTGTTGTGATTTTGCCATTTGTTAGGTTTCTGTTCTTTGCCTGCCTGCTCCCACTTCTCTGTGTTCCCTCTGTCTGTCCATGGTGTTATTGTGTCTGCTCATGAGTCTGCCTGTCATGTTCAGTGTCCTGTCTGATTCTGTGTCAGTTTCCTGTTTTATTCTGAAAGTTCATGTCTCATGTCAGTGTGTTCAGTTTTACCTCTCCCCTGTCTCGTTAGCCTTATTGCTCCCAGCTGTGTCTCCCTCCTGTGGCCCATTCCCTGATTACTCCCCGTGTACTTAAGCCCTGTGTTTTCCTGTGCTCTCTGTGACGTCGTCCCTCATGCTGCGTGGATTTCCCTGTGTCTCTCTCTCCGAGTGTTAGTTTACTTTTCCCAGTTTAGTTTTGTATTTCCTATGTTCTGCCTCTCCAGCATTAAAGCTGTGATTTTGAGTTCATCCCCGTGTCTGTGAGTTTTGCGTTTGGGTCCTCCTCCTGCCTGCCACACAGCCGAGCCTTGACTGTGCTTAGTTTTTCACAGAACTTCATGACAGCTAATAGACAGTAGTGTCCATTATTAGCGATTTAATAAGCAATTTCTGTATGATTACCATTCATCAGTTACACTTCATTTCATTACACTTTACATTTTAACCAGTCTTTTCCTAGTTTAAGCTACTACTTTATTATAAGTGTATCCATTAGGTTTTGTTACTATTTTTTTAACAATTTAACTATTATAGCTATCAATTTTAGCTAGAATGATATTTAGCAGTTTAGCTAATCCTCTCCTCTTATATCAGATCTGGTATTTAGCACAAATTAACAGTGTCTGTGTATTTTAGCTATACAGCTTGCTAAATAAAAGTCTGCTAGCATTAGCTGATAATTTAATACACCACCTGTTCATCCAGACATGGTAACTTCAGGCTTCTAAAAAAGAACATGACAGTGGCTACAATGCTAATGCTAAAGCTAAACATTTCCAAAAGTCCAAACTCAGTAGGTGAGGTCACAGTGGTTACATTCCTCTCCTATACACTGTATTCATAACTTAGACTAGATACTATGCTTATGTACAGTGGCGGTGCTAGCCTGTTTGGCGCCCCGGGCGAACACTCCCTCTGGATTTCGCACAACCCAGGATTCAAATCATGAATAGATAAGGGGCTTGGATTTACAATATTACCAATGAAATGTGCTCTATTTGGAAGCAGCAGGGCCCCCCTCCCCTTTCGACGGGTTGTGTGTGAGACTTTAAATCATCAAACTGTAAATTATAAATTTTCAATTGTTACTGATCCCTTTACCCCTGGTCCTAAAGTGTATATTTATTTTCTTACTCTTCTTATATATATTGTTTGTTTACTTGCACTGCTGTAACTGGAGCCTCGTCGGCTCGTCTCTCTATATACTGGACTGTAAGTAGCGGAGATGACAAAGTTTACTTTGACTTCAGCAGCGAGCAGGCGCACCGAGGGCTCTCGCGCTCACTTTATAGAATTTCGAAAAAACATCGGTGCACATTATAAGTCTGTATCATAATGTCTGGTGTTTTCGTGTTTGTTGTTTTGTTTTATTTTGCAAGTTGGTTATTAGATGCTGCTCCAGCCAGCCAGAGAATCCCCCGCTGCCCCGCCCTCTCCTTCCTGTGCCGCAAGCAGCAGGCGCACCTCGCAAACGGAGGGCGCCCTTACTCCCAGCAAATGGGCGATAGAAAACCGATCGGTGCCTATGCCATTCCCAATATGCGCTGGCTGATGTCGGGGCAGCGTGAGTACGCCCCCCACCATGATGCCGCCCCGGACAACTGCCCGTGTCGCCTGTATCAAAAACCGCTACTGCTTATGTATACTTTTAGAAAAAGTTTTGAAAAGACTTTTAGTGAGCTATGCTGGCTAGTTTATGAGTTTTTTTGACAATTACTTATGCATTTACTTTTCACCGTAGTATATTTATTTTGGCTATTTCTACTGTCTGTCCATTACTTATTGCCAACTCTTTTGATCAAACAATTCCAAAACCTGTTCCCATGTTTGGAAATTGGCATCTAGTATGCATGCATGAATACCTACTTCTGTTCTTCACACTCTGGGTCATCAAGACTCAGCTCCTTCCTCATCGTTCCCTCAATCTCAGCTGCCAGAGAGTCCTGCAACATATAAACTTTTAAGAGGGGAAGACAATGCCTACAAGCAAAGAGAGGCACACACACTTTTACAGTAACTCACCATCGGGTACAGTCCCAGCGGGTGATAGCGGCGTGGGGTTCCTGCAGGGTAGTTTCTGTTTCTCAGGTTCTTCAGCTCCTCCTGAGCTTCATGCAACATCTCAATGCACTCTGAGTACTTCTCTTCTAACTCCTGGAGCTGTTGTATTGTAAACACAGCAATTAAACTCACATTCACAGTATTTAGGGAACAAACTGTGATTGGGGACAAGCTTGGAAAGCAAAGAGAAGTTACCTCTGCTGTGAGCTGCCTTTGGGCATCTTTAGCTGCCAGCAGGTGTTGAGAGAGCTCCTCATTTTCCACTGCATACTAGACACACAAATGCAGCTTTGACTGAGCAAACAGCTAAACAGGACAAGACCAGTAAAAATATAACCAGTCAAAGTATATACCTGTGTGCTTATATACTCACAGATTTGGCTTTCTTTTGCAGATCTACTATCTGAGAGAGGAGGTGTGTGATCTCTTCTTGCTGTCGTGATGCGTCTTCAGTCTTACGGGCCAGTTCCTCCGCTATGGCAGAAATCTGAAGACTGGACAACCCTTAAAGTTTGACAGGGAGTTCAAAAAGAGCACAGAGAAAAATCGACCGGTAAATTGAGTGTTTCGCTTTTACACTCAGCTCCCTCTTCACCACAACAGACCGGTACAGCGTCCGCATCACTGCGGCCGCCGCACCAATCCGTCTGTCGATCTCCCACTCCCTTCACTCGTGAACAAGACCCCGAGATACTTAAACTCCTCCACTTGGGGCAGGAACTTGTCCCTGACCCGGAGTGGACACTCCACCCTTCCACAAAAAAAAAACATTTTTTCACTATATATTTTTCAGTCTGTTGTCTGCTCTTCAAAAATGTTGATTAAATCCAATTAAAAATTAGATAAAGTTGTAACAAGATATGATTCTAAATGAGTTGCGTCATTGCCATAGACAATATAAAAGGTTGATGTAGCTACCATGACATCACTCAATGATTTCTGAAGTACTGCTTTGACGATGCATTTTCGCTGTTACTTTATTGCAAAGCCGCAGATGTGATGAAGAAGAAAGAGTCTCACTATGAAACAACAAACTCGAACTACTACCAACTACTTGACAAGATGTGACAAAATGTGAAAATGATCAGCTATTGAACTTGGAGTTTGTTACCAAAGATAACCCTTCACAGACTTAACTTTTTATCCAGCATGATCCAAACCAAGTCAAACTCAGCAGGAAAGTGTTTAAAGAGGTCAAGTCATAAAGCCATTTTCTCGTAGACTTTTGGGACAGTTACATATAGGACTGGGAGTCTACCACAGCTTTTGCCATCCAGTAGAATCCAGATTTAAGGCACTTCCACTCTGGCTTCAATATTCTGCCCTGGAAGCTGCAGCCATATTATATACTGTAGAGTGATTGCATTGTGTTTTTATTCAAATATTACACAGCATGCAAACTCTCGGAGGGAGTTGTGTAAAGAAAAACAGGCAATTTCACACACAAAAGCTCCAAAAAAGAAATTGGTGGCAAGACAAAACTCACTGAGCTCTTTGACACAGTCGTTCACAAGCTGCTGCTCCTTTTCTTCATAAGTTTCGGTCTCTGACTTTAGATGGTTAGCCTGCGAGTAGACGTCCATAATTACACAAAATATCTGAGCCGTTTCGGTAACTCACCTCCCGTGTTTTCCTCAATACTGCGTGTGATACCTCTGAGCGGAGTGACAGGTTCTCCTCTTCCAGCTCTTTGAGTTTCTTTTGGAGCGTGTCGCTCACAAAGCCTCCTGAAGCAGTTTCCACTTTGCTTTTTTTACCCCTTCAGGAGACAAACACAAATTTTATCATGGAATTTACAGCCAGTACAAGTGAGGTTATATTTTTACACCTGTGAAATGGTAACAGTATTCACACATTTTAGGAGTGACATTAAGAAAGGAAACTAACGTTGGGGAGTTGCTGGATTCATCCTCGATCTCTTCAGCTGCATTGGTGTAAAACTGCAGCAGCTCATCCTTGAGGTTCAGCTCATGGTGCAGCTGGGCAACCTGCAGGAGGACAGGTACTGTTCAACACCTGTAGCACCAAAACATTTTTTCCTGGTCTAAATTTCTGTGAGGCATACCTCCTCTGTGATTTGTCCCACTTGTTCCTCCAAATACTCCTTCTGCTCTGTGAGAGTCCGGTTCTTCTTAAGGAGCGACTGGCCAATCTTTGCAGCAAGCTCCAGATCTCTCTCTTTCTATTGGTTGCAATGTAGGAGAAGCAAACAGAGGAGAGGAACATCTCATTATCATTTGGTCTGATTAAAAAAAGAAAAGCTTCAATTTACCCTCATAGAACTGGCAAAATTAAAATACCTCACCTCTTCCAACAAACGTGTGACAGCATCAATGTCATTGTAGGTTTTCGTCATCTGGCCCACTCTGTCTGCACACAGCACTGTGGAAAAAACAAAAAAAGAAAACCCAACCGAACATCAAAACACCGAATGACCTTCTGGTCATCCCATCACTTGAGTTGTGATCTGCAAACATGTGTGACTGCATGCAAAAACGGCCCCATTATGTAACACAAAGAGTATTTATACACTCAGAGGAAGTGGATGTACCACGTATAGCGTGCAACACTTCCATCACCACTGTTTGGAAATGCACGAGCAGGCGTTAAAGGGGAAAGGGTCGTGTTCCATGGCGCACAACGTGTGGCTCTGCTGCCGCGGGGTTGGCAGCAATTATTGACTTCAGAGCTCGAATCGATAACGTGCTGCACAAAGTTATCGAATCCATTATGGTAAGCCTCTGTAATCCTGTTGGTACTCTAAACAACACAAAAACTTCCCATTTCTGAAAGCAAATTTAGGTGATGGCACTGAAATAGTGATCAGCGCTGGTTTACAGGGGTACAACAGATAGCCGTGGAAATTAGACAGGAGACATGCGTCATCTTAGTGAGGCGAACTAACTAAGAAACAAACACCGGAGCAAAACTATCAGCAAGAAATAATACAGCTTTTCTGCATTACTGGAGCTCTGAAATGATGAGACTGCAGCCTGTAATCCACCGCAGTCAGGAAGCAAAGAGGAACAACGATATTCAACAAAAATCAGAGTGCTGAAAAGAAACTAATATCCCAATCATTTGATCGCATCTTAAAATTGAGCAGTCCTCCGGCCCACACTCATCCCTTTCTAATCTTTGCTCTTGCTGTCCGTATCCTCCACTTGCCTTGATAACAATCGACCGCTGGTCCAAAACACTGATCCATTTGCTTTCTGTCTCTCTCATGCCACTGCTCAGCTACTGTATCACAGGCTCACAGACTATATTACACTCCACCCACACGGACGTCCCTGTGTTGGTGGAGCGAGAACATGGTAGGCGGAGAGATGAGAGAGAGCGTGTGTGCATCCGTTTTGGTTCCACAGCTGCGGAGGTGAAGTGGAAGTTGTGTTATGATTGGACAGGCGAGGATGCATTATCCAGGACAGAGTCAATAGAAGTGACTCCCACTTCTCTCATTTTCACCTTTCTTTCATTACCTCACTTCCTCTGTCTTCTGACTCATTCTTTAGCACCGCTGCTAACACAATAGACTGGCAACCTGTAATCAAACTTCCTCAGCAATTAAACAACTTAGCTGTATGCTAAGATGTCAAAGCTGAAATCATCTGAGCAAAGATCAGGGATGAGTCTATCTGAACTGTAAAAACTCAATCTTAGAAATTATAACTCTACCAATCAATCTCAGATACGCACAAAATAAATGAAGAAAAAAATTCAACAATGTTTCAGACAACATCCTTCACGTGACACGATCTAACGTCTCAGTAAGCCAGTCAGATTCTTCCTCTTTTCATTAGATGACCTAAATTCTTCTTCACATCTTTCCATCGTGCAAGTTTTCCATGTGGGTCAAGGAAAAAGTCATTTGCAAAAGCCATAGGAGAGATTTTACCAACTATACAACCCCAATTCCCAAAGTATTAAGTAAGTGAAAATATGAATAAAACGATAATGCAGCGATTTCCAAATCTCATAAACCCATATTTTATCCACAAGAGAACACAGATAGCAGAAAAAATGAAATGTTTAAACTTAACTTAAATTTATCATTGATTTGCAGATCAGTGCATTCTGCCTTTATTCACATTTTACACGCCGTATTTTCGTTTTGTCCACTTTTTCAAACTGGGTTATTAGAGACAACCATGTGGACAGAAGCTGAAATACCAGCTTTATCCATACAGGACAAAGACAGACGAGACTAGATTAGAATAGAAAACAAACAACCAAAATCTAACATTAACATCTTATTGAAGATCACTCTACTCAAATGTATCTGATCTTCAAAATGTCAATCACATCGTGTTGTGTCACGCCCACCAGCTGCACGTCCTCCTTCATCTGCATCTTGATGATCAGCATGTTTGATTTTGCACAGATTTTATGGCGGACGCTTGGTGGCTCGGGTTATACTTTATAAACAGATGCCATCAAAGATTCAAAGAACAATGTAATGCGACGACAGCAAGAGTTAATATTGTTTAATATTGCACATTAATCTTTAATGTGAGAAAGCCTCTGCAGAAAGCGCTGTCCTTACTCCATAAACCTCTTCTGCCTACTCATAAAGCAGCGAATTAAGCAGAGTGCTGATATGATATACGGGGAGCGCAGCAATTATCCAGAATAAACGAAGATGCATTCATGTTTCAGGGCCAAACAGAAATAAAGGGCTTGGTATCCAAATGTTTTTATGGCTTAACTTTGAGCATTAAGTCAAACAGATTCATAAAAGACATCAAAGAGCTATTCGAAACCTGTCTTGTTCATCTATGTAGGAGGGGTTCTCAGAGGATTTTAAGGGAAAGACCCATAAAGGCAAGTAGAACACCCGAGTACCTCTTTATAACATCTACCCCATTTGAGTGCATGTCGACTACAATTTGTACTTTTTGCTGTCATTAAAATTATTTGTATTCTAAAGCTTTTCAACTGAAACACTTCTGCAATTTTAATATTGATAAACGACGTTTCAGTTTTAATCCTGCAGTTATAACCTGAAACCTTTAAGTAGAGAGTTCTATTATCATTGCCTTCGGCAGCTTTTCCTTCTTGCTTTCAGTCTGTCTCGGTGTGAAACATTTAAAGTACTGATCGCGCAGACTTACAGAAGTATTTTAGTGTCTCTTCGATCTGCTCGGTGGTCAGGTCGAGCCTGGCCTCAGGAGCGACGAGGGGCGTGTGGAGCCAGTCGTCATGGTCGTAGCCGTAGACGGTGTCAGCCCGCAAGCGGTACACCGGCAGCTGCTCCTCCAGAAGACTGATGATCTCAAACTCCGGCAGGTCAGTGCTGTTACAGACATCTGAACATTAGAGGGAGAGAGAGAGAGAGAGGGGATGAGGGTGGATGAGACGGGTGGGTTTTTTCTCATTCCCTGCGTGACCACAGCGAGTCAGGTTTGTGATGGCCGACATTAAATCTGATCAAACATTTGAAAGGCAAGTTTACGTTTAATCAGAGACAAAAAATATTCTGCTAAAATAAAATTAGATAACTCTTCACAAGACTCTTTTTTTTTGGTAAGAGGACCTGTTTTAAACACAGCCAATGTTTCAAATAAAGACATCAGACAGCACACGGCTCTGGCCCCTGGACACCTGTGGGTTCAAAGCTAATGTTTACGCGGAGCAGCCAATCAGGTGAAAGCCGGCTTAAAGGAAGCTGAGGGGCTACACCAGTAGCACAGGATTGTCTTGATCTGTCAATCATGCAAAGCTACTCTAGTAGAGTCCATGAATGAAACTATGGAGCTGGAATTTAACATAACACGTCCTATTTAATGTGAAATATTTTGAAAAACAAGCAATACTGTACTTTAAAAACAAAAAGAAACACTTGTGCATTTTAACTTAATTATGACTGCAAGCTTAGAATGGTAAAAGACTAGTTTCACCAACTGGTATCACTTTACTTTGATTGCATGGCTACATCCATGTGCAAATTGTGGAAAAGTAACTTTTATTTTGAAAAATTACGTTTGGAATTGCACATATAAAATTGCGTTTTTTAAGAAGAAGAAGAAGAAGAAGAAGAAGAAGAAAAAGCAATACTTTATTAATAAAACTATTTAAAAAAAGATTTATTAGAATAGTAATTTCAACACTGTCACCAGACGGTGAGCTGCATACTCAAAATTTTGTTGCTATATTTGGACTTTTGGATGATCTGAGTTCTTCTGCACCTGTGATGGTTTCGGCGTCCCTGCAGTCGGGAGGCTCCGGACGTGTCTCGGGCTGGTTGTACTCGCCCTCGCTCACATACTGCTCCTCGTGGTTGTGCCGCCGGTCGGGCTCAGGCTCTGACTCTGGGTCCTGGGACAAGGAGGGGGCTGGGGAGGCCAGCTTGGCTCACCTCTCGCTAGCGGAGAGAGACGGGGGCCATGGAGCCGGAGCTCCACTGTTGTAACGGTGACACGGGACAGACGATAGACAGCAGACACAGACACCTGCAGGGGACAGAAGAGAGGAGAAGGAGAGACCTTTACTTTTTCTGCTGCTGTGATCCAAAGTCCACTTCAATCAGTGTGTCTCTCTTTCCCTACAGACTCTTTACCACAAGTGCTGCTGTTGACTCTGCAAAGTGCTTCCTGCCAACAAGCTGCATAAAACCACAGCCTACCCACTGCAGACACCAGGTTTCATAAGTTGCAAGACTTAAATAAAAACAGACGGTGGTTGGAGGGGAACATTTATGCTTTTCTCCATTTCCTGTCATATATACAGTACAGTAGTGGATGCCCATATGAAACATGGCCAAAGTTTCAAATCATGAGCTCAGGATATGTGCAAATAATGTCTGTGGGTCAAAAGAGTGGGCTTCAGACCTCTAAACTCTCCATTTCTAACACTTTTCCTAACATCTCCAGTTGATGTCAGTGAGAGTGGACATCTCTGGGACAATCATCACAGGCATCCAGCTCTGGCTTGAATCACATAAGCTCCACCCACCTGCTTTTAAACCTTCTGTTTGTGAGGGATAGCCAACAGGAAGAAAAATGGTGCAAAGGCCTTGTAAGAGCTGTAAATCATGCAGATCTACTCCAGCAGACTCCAAATGAATAAAAATAAAATATGGAGCTGGAAATGAGCATAAGAGGTCCCCTGTGCAGCTCTTTATAAAGACATTATACCGAAGAAGAGAAGAAAGAGTGTTCTACCTAATCGATCCAGTAACTTTAAATTAAAAGGACAAACCTTTTAGCTTCAGCCTATTCCAGCTGACCTCACAGTCACCTTAGACGGCCTCTTTCGCAGTCACACACTGTACTGGGATCCCTGTCTGAAATAAACACACCGGTGCTCATTCACGGTGACCTTGTATATTTCAGTTTGCATCCTGCAGGGATCAGCGTGTCGAGGCAGGGTAAAAACACACACAAGCCAGATGAAACAAATTCACCTGAGCTCCAGATCAAACAGCCGGTGCTGCAGCTCTGAACAAAAATAGAGCCTCACTAAAAGTCTCTGTGAATATGCATGAGTGTTTGTGTGAGCCAGTTGCATGAATTACCTCTCTTAAGAGAGACATGTCGGTGCAGAAAGTGTATGTATAAAGGGAGGGACACACGGGCAAGCACGGGTCTCTGTCATCACTGTAGCTGCAGTGCAACCTTGGAACGTCTTTCCCATTGCAGCAGTCTGAAAGCTGAACTCACACTGCTCACTGTGACAGCAGCATCTTATGGGAATTTATCTATTTTTAAAAACCTCACCACATACTCTGTGGGTGAAAGATGACTTCAGATATGAACTGACAACACACACATGCACCACATGCAGATTTGGGATTAAAACAACACATTAAAGCTGCAATCCCGTGCTGACGAGGATAAACGTGAGGTGCTTATTGGATGTCCTGCAGGCCCAGATATTACAACTGTCCCGCAATGAACGCTAACAGCTGCTCCTGCTGATTGTGCTGCAGTAAATAGGCCAGGGTTCATTCAAGCGTGGGGCATACACAATGCCATGTCTGAGGGCGTGGCTTCATCTACATCAGCACCCGTCACGGATGCGAATCTGTGTTTTTGCAAATCGTGTCACCGTACAAGTATGACAGTAAGTACCAGGACCTGATCAGTTGACCTTATGATGCACGGCATCGCCATTAAAAGCATTTAATCGTGACAGCAGTGCATCTGCCACTACACGGACACTCACGGTGACGGATCCAAGCACGGTTCCTTGTCCGTAATCCAGAGAGGACTCGGGTGAAGCTGAGCAATCCTGCAGCTAGGAAATGTTTAGACAGTGAAAATGTTTCCAGGATGGGCAGCCGAAGACGGTGTCTGCCACACAGTCCTCGGTCAGGCCGGGCTGAAGCGCCGTGACGGGGGATTTGCGCGGTCTGGACTCTCGTTCCTCAGCGCAGACACCTCTGGATGATCAAGATCACCTTAGACCGCTGTCCCGACTCGCTCCTGACCTGGTCCACTGCTCCAGCCTTTCAGCCATCTCCCTCTGTCTCTCTGTTCTCTCACTTTCCCTGCGATCAACCTCCCTCGCCACTGTCACACCACACTGCATTAGAATAATAGAACTTCTGGCCGAGACCTTCAAAATAAAATCTCTATTCCCTAACAGCTTTAAAAAAAACGTGGATGCATATTTTGCACCGTAGTAAGTATGCTGTTATCACGCGCCTGTAGAATACAGTGAAAGTGCACAATGATCATCTTGAGATTAACTTCTATTCCCACTTGATGATTTTAATATTTATTACGGCTTAAGTTGAAAAGTTTCGTCCTTAGTAAACGCGTTGATGCTTTTAATTGTAAGGCGCTGCTTTATTTCGCACGGTTTCCTGGGTAACTGTATATGACTTCACTTTCTTCCCACCCTGCTGCCACCCAGAAGACTCCCAAACCAGAGACCCAACCCGTTCTGGACCGAGCATCAGTGACGTCACACGCGCCTAACAGGAAGAGGTTGGGGTGATCATTTGCGGGCAATTTGAAATTATAGGATCTTTACAGCTTTAAAAGCTTGTAAGGCTAGTTTTGCTGTAATCATGATAAGGAACACATTTAATTTCTAATTAAGAAATGTATTTGTCCAGAACAAAGTGGTCACGCTGAGCAATGATATTCTTACTTTGCGAGATTTCCTACACGTCAATAAATAAAATAAATATAATAAAGGAAGCACTGTGTACAGAAGGGTAGAGAGTGGTCAGAATATAAAGTGCAATTAGTTATCCATATTATTGTAACGTCGAGACATTTAGAGTGTTATTATATTTTAGATTAAAAATAAAACTTGCATTTTGTGCAAAGTTACAAATGTACAGGTCACGACAGATAATCACGTTTCTCCCACAGGTAATTTTTTTTTAAATTTATTGTTGATGACACACAACTTCAGTTCCCAGCAATCCTCAGTGTTTTCTATTTGATCAACTGCACAAGTGAGAGAGGGGTAACTTAAGTGAGACCAGCCACTCAGGTCCTCTTTCTCACTGTTTCTCAACCATTTTTCATCCTGTTCTGAAAGCCAGCTGCATCAGTGCAAACGAGTAGGTCTGAAACCAGAGGTGCCACCCCTGCACCTCCATTTTTTTTGTCTCCACCAAGCATAAATTCTGTGATCATATCAGTGCAGCAATATGCAGAAATGACAGGAGGACAGATCCCCCTTTGAAATATTATATAGGTATGCGCTGTAACCTGTGGTGATTATAAACGCAAAACAAGATAGCCTTGCATTATCGGCTGCAAAGTAAGAAGTGTGTCCACAGTTGCATTACTATAAGTCATTTGTTAAATGGTTTATCTTGGTGTTTCTTTATGATTCCTTTTCTGAATTCTTATGCTTTTATTTTCTATTTTTCCCAACTCGAGCCCCTGAAAATGAAATCTTATGATATACTCTGGACTCCTCCACCTCCCTCTTTTCTATCCTGATGTTCATATGCCACTAATCACTAACTTTTCTCTCATCTTACTGTTTTTGTTTGTTTTGTTTTTTTTATTTGTCCTGATCCCTTTGTGCTCGTCTTTTTTCTGCCCCTCCCTGATTCTGAAGTTTCTTCCCTTTAAAACAGAGTTCTTTCTCCCCACCGTCGCTTGTCTAACACTTTATGGTCTTTACCTTTCATATCTAGCACTTTCAGGTGAATGCTATGATAACCCCCGCATCCCCTCCGCTCACAGAAGTTTTGTGCCTACCATCGCATCAAACGGCAGGTGGCAGCAGAGAGCCTCTTACATAACGCACAACTTGCTTTTTGCGAATTGAGAGTAGAGATGTTGTGTTTGAAGGCTGTGTAACAGCTGAGTGCTACACCTGCATCCGCGCAGTGAACTGCAGCAAGTGAGGTTTACACGATTTCCACATTGAAGTGCTTTAAATCCGGTAATCTGTGAAATCACTGCGCCTCAGTGGTGGCCCGTGATTCTTACACTGAGTTTTTTGTTTTTTGTTTACATATGAGATGTGGTAGCGATGCTATGGCCCTTCCCCTATAAGTCACGGATACGTAACACCACACGCGCTCCCCGCTGCCATAATGTGCATATTTTGTACAGAGTGGAAAACAACACTGGCGTTTTGTTGGGTGCGTGATTTTACTCCCTGTGCAATATTTACAACGGAAGACTAATTGTGGATTTTTACTTGTTTACTTGTTACTTGGTTTGAGACTGAAAAACTTTCTCCGCGCGTCTCATCTTGGAGCATTCTAATCGATCTCTGTGAAGCCTCATCTGCAGACACTCGCTGCCCGTGAGGTGAGAGTGTGTTTGCAGAGGGAGGATAACCTTCTTGAGCTCGTTTCAGTAATTGTTAAACAACTTCACGTGGACTGACCACGGCAGCACATGGTAATTTATCTTGTTTGTCTCCATAACACCGCCTCAGTATCTGGTCGGTATTTACAACCATCTTCCGCCTCCATCTCCCCGGCTCATCCACTCCATTGGAGCCAATTTGACCTACATTTGAAATGAATTTCGATCAGATCCTCTCTGCCATTGGAGGCTTTGGCAGATACCAGAAAATTCTCTACATATGGATATGTCTACCTCAGATCCTCCTCGCCTTCCACATGCTGGTGAGCATCTTCACCGGAGCCACGCCGCCTCATCAGTGCCGCGAGGGCTCGAGTCCAGCAGCGGGGAATCAGTCCCTGTATTCAGCCACCCTGAACTTCAGCCTCTCCAACTCCTCCTGCTTCTCGCAGGATGTCGTGCTGCTGGGCAACGGCACTCAGCGCGTGCCGTGCAGTGACGGATGGGTCTACAGCAGGGAGACTTTTGAGAGCACCACCGTCACCGAGGTACAGAAACATGACCATCTGGTCTGTTCGGTTTGGGCTGAAGATCAACTTTAGTCATTAATCA